TAACATTATACGTCTGTGTAAGTGTGTACAATGTGTACAATAATAGGAGAACCACAGAATAACTCTGCAGTCCCGAACAAAGAAACAGAAATGAGCCAAATTGATCGTCTGAGCAATATGAATAAGTTTCATATGGTCATGTTTTTTGGATGTAACATAAGTTCTATGAATGAAGTGTATTTTCTGATGGTTTGAGTTGATAGATAATTAAACTATATGTCCCAAAAGGGTTAATGTGGTTAATGCAGCTTCAATGAACGGCAGTCTGAGGGGGGGTCAACAGGTGAGAACAGATACAGAGCTAACCTGGAGTTTATACACATATAGTCACATATCTAAACCTGATTGGATGGCGGTCGACAGGTGTGTTCAGTTGTTCTGGCTGATTGGACCTCTGCTCAGGTTGAAAGTGGACTGGTGCATGATGGGGATTTATGAGGTCATAAATCTCAACCTCCAATAGAAACAATAAAGGTGTCATTAGCCCCACCCTCACAGGTACAACAAAGCTAACAGGAGTCTCAGGAAGATGTCAATCAACCTGAGGTCACCCAGGTAAACTGAACACACCTGTGTGTACCTGACTGCTGCTGAGATCTAAAGGTTGTGACACAGACTGATCACCTGTGCAGGTTCCTGTCCAAGAATCAAAGTATAGTGTGTAAAAAGAGAGTGGAGGACTGAGACTGTCACATCTGTATACAGCTCCTCAGCTACCTCTCATGGACATCTGAGGGAGCAGCCATCTCCACTTGGAGAGTTTTCCCTCTATCTTCTTTGTGACAGTCTCCCAGCTGGGAGACCGCCACGGGCCAACAGCAAGGGCCTCACTTTTTTTCCAGTTTACCCTTGCTGCTGATGCTGCGCTAAAACCATTTACAATGTCGATTAAAAGGTCTGCATCACTCTGATTCCTAATAAAAACAATGACATCATCTGCATAAGCCGATAAAACCATGCTTCCACTAAAACCAGGTAAAACCAAACCTTGAAGACTAAAGCGTATCTTGTTGAGGAGAGGTTCCAGGGAGAGTGCATAGAGCATCCCCGACATGGCACAGCCCTGCCGGACA